AAATGAAAATAGGAAGGATACAGCTTTTGCATATTTGTAGTATTTAGAATACAGAATAAATCTATATTTCCTGAACCGTTTTAATGATGTTTTTCTAGCATCTTTATGAGAGGTGCTACAACATCTACTACCGCTATGAACTTATTTTATTCATAGTGTATGTGTTTAAGTAATCCTGGTCATACGGTATCAACATAACGCGATTTGTGTCTAATATCACCGTTATTGAGTAGATGTTTCTGTATACAACGTTCGCTCAGCTTCATCTACTTGTGTATCCTCAGTTCTCCGGAATTCGATTGTTTCACAGTACAGGAAGACAATTAACGCATGTAATAGATTTTTGAAGATTCGCTTTGAAACTAGCTATGCGCTAGTTTTGAAGTTCTTTGAGATGCACTTACCATATGTTGTACATCATATGATATTTCCTATGAAACACAAACTAATTCTTTTTAAAGAAAAAAATATTGTATATAGTTAAAATATTAATCCGACATAAACGTTTACAATATCCAAAATATCAAAATACACAATAGTTGGATTACAAATATAACAAATGAAAATACGACCTTCATTTCACCCCTAAACACAAGGCAGTACTTGAGACACAAAGCATCATCATCCATATCGTTAGTAGTTGTGAAGAAAGTTTTTTGTTTTATCAGCTATTGCTGTATTGTAAGAGCAGCAGGAAAATCTAGAAAATTAAAAATCAAATAATTACATTAGGCATCTAATTAATTTTCAATATTTTCACTTGACAATAATAATAAATCATGTCGGTTCTCGTCAACAAGATGATCTGTTCAGACGTAGTACGAGTTATCTCTCTTAGTTCATGTGCACATCATATTACATATGTTTTCTAATGTTTTACGGTCAATCGATAATCATAGTCATTAAAAGTTAAAAACGTTAAAAAAAATAGAAGATAAAAAAGAACCGCTTACAAAAAATAAATCATTTTTGAATCCAAAAAGTTATATTTCTTAGACCGTCATAAATATAAACATGTTCACACATTGGAACCAATTCAATTTGGTAGTGCGCGGCCAGATAATTTCACATCTAGGCAAATTCATTCACTCCCTCTCTCTGTAGCCGAATGTTTTCTTGTGGTTTTTTGCTGTTTTCAGAGTTTTCCATGAGGAAACTGAACATAATAAACAACATGTGAAATAAAAACATCAAACATTCTATAAGCGGAATTCTCTGTTCCCTGCTTTCGTCTTATCTGACCCATTATGTTGTTGTAACATTGGACTCTAGACACCAAATTGCCTGAATATAAGAATTCCATCGGTGTTAATGCTGACACACAATTAAAGAAAAAAAAAGAAAGAAAAATGGAAACCGGCACGCTTCTGTAATTGTATATTTTTATTGTTTTGATTTCTCTTGAAATAAACTTTTATTTTGCTGACGTCTGTAATGCTTAAACATTAGTAAACTATTTGTGGTTTGCGAGCTATTGCGTATTATCATCAACTACCATCTGTTTGTCTAAACTATATTGTATACAATAATTTATAAATTACGGGCTGCTTTGTCAAATCAGGCTCATATACCTTTCATCAACGTAGACATATATCTGTTTATCTTCGATATTCCAGGAGTTACAATCACTTTCCCTCTCTAAACCCCGGAACATGTCATGGCAAAATTCTAGGCACAAGCGAAGTAATTTAATTGGTTCCAAGAGAAAAAATCTTACCAATCACTGACTGATACGCTCCTTTTGAATATCAGAATCGAACGACACCCAACTTCAAAGACATTACAATATACCGTTATGCGATCTGAGATTTGTTGGAAGTACATCAAAGGGTCAAGATGTTGTACATGTAACCATCAGTTTTGCCACGACATATTCCAGGCGTACAGAGAGCGAAATTAGCCCCTTGAGTATCGAAGATGGGATATATTTTAAGATGGATCTTTCCAGAAAAGATTTGAGAAGACAGAAAAACGCAATATTTTGTAACTATATAAATGATTCAAAAATACGTATGGAGTATTTTATACAATACAATATCAGTTGGAAACATCAGTAAATACAACACAAAATGTAGGTAGCTGGAAAAAAGATAAACAAATAAGCAGATAATTATGTTAAAGAACAAGTAAATGATATTTTGACACAATCCATTCCTTGAAACAATCTATATTAAGGTAAAAGTCAAAACTCGTATTTGTCTTCTCCCAAGACAAAGGGACAAAATCAACAGACACGTACATATTTACACCAAAATATATTTGACGTTTGCAATCGAGTATTGCTATACCGTACAGATTAAGTGGTAGGGAGTTTATTTTAATATTTGTTTTTATAAAGAAATTAGAAATGATATTAGATCTTAACTATTGATCCTATGAAGTCATAGTTATAACAATATAAAAGACAAAACAAGATGGCACATAGGCTATACAGTTTTACAGCTGGTAAAAAAGCGTCAAATTGGAACAAAAAACATCGCCTACATTATATAACCGTTTTTATATTATATCAGTACCGGTTGGTTGGTCACATGTTTCTCGTTTGTAACACATGTCGGTTTTCTGTATCTTAGCTCATTCGTCCTCATTTGATATCCTGTTTGATGAAGTTTAATTCCTTATCGACTTTAACGTATTTCATTTTAAGTTTGTTTTGTGTACTATTATACAGCCACGAAATGACTGACGCTGAGTTTAGGCTATAGGATAAAATCGTCAAGATCTATAAGAAAGTCACTGACAGTAAGGACGTATAGATATTGTATTGTGGTATGAAATAACTCGTGTATTACATGTTATAAGAACGTATATATTTAAATACCATGTATCTTATACGTTTCCATGAATAAGAGTTGGAATTCCCGTCAAAGCTTGACTCCTGAAAGTATATACATACCTGGTAATAGGAGTCAATTATTAAAACTTGACCACATAGAAGACAACTTCTATTTGATAAATTACAATGTGTTACGCTATTTTTTTTAATTCACACAGTCAGCGTAAATCATATCTAATCCTGTGAAATCAAAAGTGATATTCATGCAAGTACCGATGATATGACAAGGTAAACATGTCCCTGGGATTTCAACGTTTTGATACTGACACATCGATGCAATGTATTTGATAACTGTCACAAAATTCCACTGTACTAGACTGACATTTTGCTGGTATAACGTCACAAGCGAGAATCACATGATGTAATAAACTCCTCCCACAAACGACCCGGATGACTATTGTATGACAGGTCCCGAGCTAGCCTGAACATCTTCGATGCAGTTCTCACGCACTTGTATGGCAACTTCTCAAAATTGCTTCGTTCTAACTAATCGTGCATATTGCACTTCATTTGAAGTTCAACCAGATCAATTATATTGGCCGGAAAATTTGTTATTCTATGTATACAGTACCGAAGAAGCAAACCGAGAATACGTTGAGCGCGATGTTGTGTGATATAAATACACTGTATCATGTCTGTATATTGTAAATATAGAGACCGTACACAGTATAATGTCTGTATACCGGAAATGAAGAGACATTACACAGTACAATGAATGTATACCGGAAATATAGAGACCGTACACAGTAGAATGTCTGTATACCGGAAATATAGAGACCTTACGCAGCATAATGTCTGTATACCGGAAATATAGAGACTTTACACAGTATAATGTCTGTATACCGGAAATGTAGAGACTTTACACTGTATAATGTCTGTATACCGGAAATGTAGAGACTTTACACTGTATAATGGAAATATATAGAGACCACAGTTAATGTCACATATAGAGACTTTACACAGTATAATGTCTGTATACCGGAAATATAGAGACTTTACACAGTATAATGTCTGTATACCGGAAATGTAGAGACTTTACACTGTGTAATGTCTGCATACTGGAAATATAGAGACCTTCCACATTATAATGTCTGTATACCGGAAATATAGAGACCTTACACAGTATAATGTCTGTATACCGGAAATATAGAGACCTTACACTGTGTAATGGCTGTATACCGGAAATATAGAGACCTTCCACATTATAATGTCTGTATACTGGATATATAGAGACCGTACACAGTATGATGCATGTATGTCGGAAATATAGAGACCGTACACAGTACAATGTTTTGGGAACTTCTATAGACCGTACCACAAATTTAGCATTAGAGGAAACTATTTCAATAAAATTATTAAAACAAAGAATATAGAGTGGCAGGCCAAGAACAGATCCTTGTGGTATCCCTTTGGATCAATAACCCTGAATTGAGAGTGATAACCATCACTTGACATTTTACGTAAAAGATAATTTCGAAACCAAATAAGGAAATTTCCACAATTATCAACTTTCTGACACTTGTGCAAAATATCCATGTGCCTTACACTAATTATTTACTATTATCACAGAATAGTCTTCGCGATCTTTTCTTATTAAAACTGTAAACCATTTTGTCATATGTATTCAGTAACTGTTGACGAAATTCATATACAAAGAGACACGGATAAATGCAAAGTGAGGTGAGTTATTTATCTTATAATATGTTATAACATGAACATATTAGGGTTTTAATGCGTGTAGTCTGTAAAAGGCTGACCCGAACTTTAAACAGAAAACATGTTCAGATTCGTTCGATTGAAGGCGGCTATTTATAGAAAAAAGACAAAAGAAAACAAAACATAAATATCAACATTTTTATTGCTAATTAATTACCTGTATTCTGTTTCCTAGTGATTCTGTTTTCTTTTACAGATTAATTGTCTTAACGTCTCATTTACACAATGATTCATTAACATGTGGAAGGTCAATACAGATGAACCAGAAAGAAAGTTATGATCGGTAAAGAACAAGTAAATCTCAATGGTGGTAAGATGGACTAAAATGTTATCGCATTCGGACAATTCATAACTTTGATATTGATGATGCAAACCCATAGACGCAGTATTATGTTAACACGTAGCACGCTTCCTTGGTATCATAGTTATCTCCCCTTTACACCAGAAATTAGTCAGCATGTTTGTATGGACTCGGTACAACTTCCATCAGGCATTGAACAAATCTGGTCACGTGCTCTGTGAAAAGAGGGTTGTTAGTTAATATTTTAGACTCAAAAATAGATATTTTTTTGTAATGGTGGACAAGCTGTAACTGATTATAACTTTCGTTACCCAAAAAAGTAAGATATTTGCACGCCAAGAAACATTTGGTATTTTGTAACGTTTTAACTTTCGATACCTGTAGATATCAGATTCCCATTCTCACATTTTCAAAGCTCGGAATTAAATATCAAATAGAATTGTTACATATGTCTCAATTTCTAACTTTTGATATTTCGTTTTATACACATTATTTTATGACAAAATGGGTAAATAATGACGTTTCCTAAGTTTGAAAAGTTGAGCACTTAATAAGAAATCGTATGAAATTATAAATATGATAAAAAAATCTAAATTTCCTTTAATTTTTCTTCATCACTTATATCACTTTCTATTACTTCATACACTATTGTATTTCGTATCATGCGAAACCATCATATTTGAAAGATAGATGGACGGAGCGGTAAGATGAACCTGGGTCGTGTTACGTGACAAATCATTATTCAAATGTTATATCATAGAAATAAAAGTGTTTGAATAATACAATAAGTTAGACATTGTTACCAAGGTCTGAGCAATAAGCAGGTATTGAATCATTTCGTCCGCCCAGATATCTGGTACCTACTTGTCGGACATCAATGAAAGCGTGCTTCGTAAATAAGAGAGCGCATTTGGAAAATAAATAGATAATTAATTGGTCTACCAGTGATCTGTTATGTCATAACATTACATCCTAAAGGATTCGATTATTTCTCATTAAAGATCGTCTATAAATTGTTTTTAAATCTATGCTATTAAAAGTAAATAAATAATTTTTAAGATCACGGGAAAAATGTATACTTTAGAATCGTTGGCCTGTTTTGTTGCCATAGACAATAATACTAACTGAAGAAGCCCTGGTCTGCATGGTAGTGCACGAAAGGTACATAGAACACAAGTCCTCCCGACATAAATAAGAATGCGTACAGGAACTCAACGGTAGGATTCTGGATGATCGGTGCTACCACTAAGTACATCGAACACACTATGAAAATCAGTGGAAACAAAATGAAGATCTGCAAACAGAAAATGGAATCATTTTACTGACTTTCAGGGTTTGAAGCACAATAAGGTTTCCATTTTTTTGCTTTTCAATTTTATTTCGTTTTCGTGTCGACCTACACACAAATATGTTGATTGTCAGAAACATCAAGCTTTTACACACATGTGCTTGACGTTGTTCTGAGATTGTCATATATGAAAATTATTGAAAATATGTTGCCTGTGCATCTCCCTATTTAGATCGTCTTTTTTTTTTTACATCACTTTTACCTCAGAAACCTGCTGGGCTTCAAAATTAAGGCACGTAGCATCACTGACGAATCCTAAAGGACAACACAACGATTTCATGCTGATGAATTTCACTGTTTGTCTCCACTGTATTTACTCTAAATTAATCTATATTAAAACATGCTATTCAGTTATATGTCTTTTGTACAAAAAATCAATTAATAGTTTTGAATACTTCGGCTATTTGCTTGTTTTCCATATGTATAAACATGTTTTTCTTCCATGTGCAAGTTAAGGCTTTGTTTCAAAAATTTCATTTTCTCTCTGGTGTCTCTCTTGACTTATTACCGCTCATTTAGATTTTGTGTTGATTTTTCCTTTGTACTGAAGACTATAGGTTGCTTCTCCAAGCCATGACATACATACTAAACTATTTAAACCGTACATCGAGCTACCTGCTTTTCGTGTAGAATTGTATGTGACGAACAGTTACTCGTTACAGTTTCCAACTTATTACGTTAAGTTTGATTGCAGTATTTTTACAGGTGTTCCTACTTCACGGTTCGGTAGAGGCTTAGCAACCGTGAAGAAGTCTTTAAGCTAACTAACCTTTCGAGACATTCCAGATATTTTAGTAATGGCGACTCTACTACTCCTTACCTAACGCTCAGTATCATGATTTGCCTATCAGTGTAATGTCACCTTTTGTGGTTTGCTGATAAAGGCTATTTGCAGTATTCGTAGTGTAGCAGGCTTAGCACAAAGCACAACCTTCAAATACACACGCACCCATATATACACCCACCCCGCATACGACATGAGGTTGTACATTAAGGAACAATTTATGTTCATAGGCTGTCAATTACTGTACAACTAACTCTCGTCATGGCACTTGAGCTGTTGTGAAGACGTAATGACCTAACATAAATAATTACTGCTACAGGATGGGATGGCATCGTGTATTACTTTAATAGGGCGATACGTGTCTTTCATGGTAAACCTCAGCACCAATAACGCAAACACCGTGAGTCCATGGAATAGCCAGGCTGTGAAACTGAAGAAATTGATAAGGCTCCGAATATCGCCAAGTACCGTCAACAACACGGTTAGCAATGTCTACAACATAAAAATCAAATATTCAGAGAGAAGCGAGGCGAGGGATGATACCTAAAAACTATTCAATAGAGGTTGATGATGCCTGCTGTTATTCCAAATACCCCGATAACGAAAGCCATTCTCTTATCTAACGTAATCTAGATAAGGTGATGAAGACCAGTTCGATTTTGTCTTACAAACATTATATGATATTGTTAAAATGCATTTTGTCTGAGTTTGTTCTTACAGAGGTTATTGCTGTAGTTGGATTACGTTATTTATAAATTCAAGTATGGAAAAATCGCAAAAAAAAAAAAAAAAAAAATCTAAAAACTAATTTGCTCTGCTATGATAAGTATTCCCGACCTATCCCATGTATCGACATTCTGATGTCATTTGGTTGTATACATAAGCGTAGTATATTGCAGAAACAGTTATGTTCTTGTTGGACTGTAATAAATTTACATTATCAGTGTTAATATCATTTAAAACCAATATTGAGTTTGTAAAACAATGAACAAAAGATACAAGTGCTTGCTATACTCATTGTTATTTGCAAGAAGTTTGGGACCTGATCTTCTCTCATCTTCCTAAACGAATATGTTTTCCTGATGGCTCTCTTGACACTGCCTCACTGTTTGCCTTTAGATGCGTATCTACATTCCCCTATCTGTGCAAAATGTATGGGTACCTTTCCCTTGTCGAGACATCCAAAATCCTTGAACATGGCAGTTGTAATGACCAGGTGAGATGTCCTGCGGTATGTTGTCAACATGATACTTCAGTGTGATAACACTATACAATCAACATTAACCACGCCCTTTCACAAGAATGTGTCCATGAACACACCACAGCCTTCCGGAAACAAATGTAATAATTTCGAATACATAGGAAGACCGTTCCTAATATTGCTGTTGATAGGTTGTTAAATGATATACACTAGAAAAAAACAGTGACATATGTTTGATGTTTCTTTACAACACGTTTATGAGTTTCCATTATCATACCTATTTTATGTATATTTGGAATGAAAACATACCCGAAACTGTTATTTATCGATATCAGACAAAATCTAATGTTGATTTATGGGGAAAACCTTTTCCAAGTTTTGCATTATGTTTCAAGTCGTGTCCTGCTCTGTACATCAAACTCTCAAATCACACATCTGAACAAGATTCAAACCAATTTGTTTATAATAGGACAATAAATGACTTGCTAAAAGTGGTGCATCCATTGGAATAAAATAAAAATGTGTCATTTAAGAAACAAGAATACATGAATTTATATGTGTGATTAGGGATGACTTACTGTAAATATGATGCAGGGAATCGGAGTACACCTTTTACAACTGACGTATGACAAAACCTCAGGGAATTGATGTTCTCTGGCAGCAGCATACAGGATCCTGAAAAAAACATTAAATTTTGTAATCCATCAGATGGTAAAGCAATCACCAAACTTGTTGTGAATGAAGTTATAGCTGCTAAAAACAAACCTCCCAAAGACATATCACAAAATGATAAGGAAGGTATAACAAATACAGATTAACTCTTCATTTCAGCCATGAGCTCCGAACGGTCAGCAGTAACCAGAATTGTAAGAAAATATTCTAAACACACTGTCATGGTAGCAATATAAATGGTTTTTGACATTTTTTTGGAATAGCCTTAATTATTTATTGAAAGTCCTGTCGTTCAAGAAAGATGTGATTTCCAAGCTGCTAATTATAGATGCAAACTTGAATAGCTGCATTTAATATGATTTCCAAACTGCTCATAATGGATGTCATTTTGAATGTAGCAGCACAAGTCTAAATTGTATATACGACTAAATGTGGACACAATATGATCACTATGTAGTAAGCTGTCTTGTGTCAGTAAAAATTTTAACTCAAGAGATATGTATGTTATTGGCAGGTTTTGAACGAAGAACAAGGCGGAATAGTAGCGTTGTTCATGCAGAACTCGTTAATGGAAGTCCAGTCTCAGTAAGACTTTCAAAATGAATGGCGATATCAAGGAATCACACAGGTTTGAATTTCTTACCGGGCCAAATATAGAACATGTCATATACAGAAATGAAGGTAATATTTTAACACAGAAACCGAGCCTCTAACTAAATCCCCTATATTGCCAATTCCCAGCTTAACCCAGACGTTGTTTGGTTGCTGAAGTACTTCTTCTAAGAACAACTCCGGAAGGCTTTGTTTGATTCCAGCTAAATTTTGCATGAGCCATTACCACAGATAACAAGTTTAACATTTGTGAATTCTGACTTGGTGAACCACTTTGCCGGATTTTTAGAACCCAAAAATATACATTTCAGTTTCTTTCTTGACCTTCGGAAAACTGGCTATTTATTTTGTCTATTCAAAACTAGAAGATGGTCAAATAATGGATTTAAGTTATTTTGGCACATTTTCATGTTCTTGTTGCTATGTAGTTAAAATTCGTGAAATGAATTTTAACTTAAGTTGTTTTTCTTAATATCCAAGTTTCGTATCCTTACTTTGTAAAAAAGACAAAATTTATTTTTAAAAAATGCTTGGAAAATAAAAGAGAATTTCTGTTGCATATATATTCTTACACCTGTACCGGCAGTGTGACAGCTGATTTGTTTTGCTTTTACACTATATTTGACAATCAAACCTTTTAGAAAATCATCGTTAAAAAAGTTTTAAGCTGGACTTTTTTTTCTTCTTTTCATATGAGTTCATCCTTAAAACTATTCAATAAATTGCTCGTTATGGCAGTTTTTCGCGGAAGGTAAAACAACCATTTTGACGGTCAATAGTCGCATTTTATCTGCCTTCAATATTGGCGTCACAATTTTCACGTGTTTGGTGTCATTTTTGAAACCTTCAATAACAGTTCTTTCTGCTAACTTTATATTGAAACATTGCTGTGCAAATGTAACAATACAGATTTCTCTCGCGACTTCTTCAATCGTAATAGGTTTCTGATTTATTTAGTACATAATACAACACTTATTCTCCACGAGGTTCATTCTTATTTGTTAATTGTGTACAAACTGACAAACTATATATTACATAATTACCTCGATCCTCCAAATAAGTCTGCATTTGCTGTTCCTAATATTGAAAGCAAGACAGCAATTGTCATTAGCATACCGCCAGGTCCAAGGACAGTCTCTCCCCATGTCTAAAACATGCCAAAAACTATGTGCATTATTACTTGTCAAACACATCTGAGCATTCATGTAATACACACGTAGTTCACAAAATTGCAATCGTGACTGAATATTGATATTATGTCTTTTAAAGACTCATACAACATCGATCTGCTTGAAATATTTCTTAAGAGCAGTTTAGCTTATACGCTTTTGCTCCGTAGACCATAAGCTTATACAAGAATTAACAAACAGAACAAAACAAGCCGCTAAAACTTTTATTTGAATTTCCTGTCACCTTTTTGAACCAGGTTGAGCTTTGATATAAATTTTAAATAATTTCAATGGACAGTATGTGGAACCTGAAAGACAGACAGAAGGATGGCAAAACAACGCCATCACTCCACAACCTGATAATTGAAATACATAATTAGAAATTTACTCAATTATGTTCCACTGAGCCACTCGAACACACAACTGCCGTGTTCATCCTAATTAAGATAAGACAACGTGAAGTCAATAAGAACTGAAAGGAAGTTAAAATGCTTCTTTTTAATTATTAGAGAAAACGTAAGAAACTATAATTCACTTGTTAAAACAGGTGAACACTCCATGTTCAAAATGTGTTATTACATTCAACTTACTCCATTAGTATAACGTGCTGATTTTGTGTCTTCAATTTTGTTTTCACAAATATCTTTGTACTAGATAAATTACACTAGATATCCGTTTCTTTTGTAAATATGATAAATATGAGCATCCACTGTACATCCACCGCTAGAGAAGAGAACATTCAAACCCTTTGCAAGGGACATTGAAGAGAAGACTGGGCTTCCTGATCGTGGATGTTACCTTGTCTGCTACTAAGGGGACAATAAAAGGACCAAAATGTATCTGCTGCCACTATTTTCACACATAGGATCTAGATATTTTTCTTTCCTTCTTATCTTACAGAACAATATCTGCTCCTCCTATTACAACACATGGGTTATCGCTTTATTTCTGTGATTTATTTTCCATGCTCGGTCATTTAAGGAAGACACAATGTATAAGAGTTGATTGCGTGTGATTTTGTGAGGATGTAGCCTTTTCAAAGATAACGGAAAGGAACACAAGAAAAGCAGAATTGAAATTATCATATTCACCGTACCCAATATTGCCATTGAAGATTGAAGTTAGCTGTAGATGTCAAGGCCAGGATACTGTAATACATTGTTTGTATTTGTGTTAGACTAGACTTACGAAAGCTACAACTCTTGACTGCATAACTCCTTCTATTCCCAGTACCGTCAGGTACGAAATGTTTGCCAAGAAGTATACTATGATTGCGATAATCACGCCCAGGATGCTCGCTCGTGGCAGGTTTCTAGAAGTGAAAGAAATCAAACAAACAAAAATTATTCGTTTTCGTTCGTGCATTTGTGAAATGCATTATTTGTACATTTTATGTAAGTTTGATGTTTTTAACGTGTACAGAGGACAAAGCTTAAAGTTAAGCTCAATATGAATGTGGGAAAAGTCAGTAATATATCTTACCTTCTTTGAATAATCAACTAGCAAGACATCCATTTCAGCCATATATGGCAACTTTTGATACAGTGTAAAAATGTGTAAAGAGATCAAAAGCGGAGAAAGAATATTTAATAACACAATTCATCTATTCCATAGACTATTCCATTGTGATAAGTGTATACCTACCGTTTCGGATTCTTTAGTTCCTCTGTCACACAATTGATTCTATTCCTGAAAAGAATAGATGAGAACGAAATCAGATTAATTATTAATGGTATCCCCAGTCTTCTTGTTATCTATGCTTACAACGTACACTACTAATTCAAAAACTTATCACATTGTATTATATACCTGTGTAATATTTCCCCCCAAATTACCACAAGTGTTATAGCCTATTATGACGTCAGGATTTGATGGGTTTTTGAATTTTTTTCTGCTACACGTGGCTCAATTGTTGATCATGTGATAAGGTCGCAAATACAAATGGGAGCCGATGTTAGATTCTATGTGATATAGCAAAAGATGGAGAAAACATGTCTACAGCAGTAAGAGAGAAGTGAAAGACAATTTATGTTTCTTTAATATTACTACATTATAACTTTACCAACTAGCTATGTATTATCTGGTAAGGAATTAACACCGACGTAGGAATATAACATGGTTGTCGCTTTACAACAAGATCAAATTTAGAATTAATACAGATTTGCAATGAATTTCTTTAATTCATGGGCATAATCAATGCGAGTTATGTGACATAGAAACTTACCTGATTTTTTTATTTTTAATGTGCCATTTATATAGCAGAGAATACCAACAGAAAACTTTGCAAATCTTAAATGGATGACGAAGGAATTGTGATATTTTATTCGATGATTGGATTAATCAAAATTCATAACTGGTCTCTATGCATATATCACCGATTAAAACTATAATTTGAAATTGTCTGTATGATGTAAATGCCCCAACGCCTACTTTTGTGGCATTGTTTATGAACTTTCAAAAATTGTAAAATGTGACCTTTGACGCTTTAACATTGATAGATAGTGCCTTCAAAATATGACTTTGTTTCAGAACGAGATGAACGTTCACGAATAATAGTATATGCCTTCCATACTACTCTTTGAATTGCATGGTGTAATAATCTGATAGCATTTCAAGGCCAAACCATCGATAGACTAAGAATATATCTTTCTATATCGTGAGGATATGACTAAATGCTTGTCCTTTCCTTGTTTACTTTACTATCTTACATAAAATAAATATATGCATATCGTATGACCATAATTAAAAGGCATATAATTTTAAAAATAGGTGTTTATTTACCATTGTTTTTCAGCTTTTATATGATAATTTTTTTTAAAAATTCGATTTTGTCATATCTACACTGAAATTAACAAATAAAAAGCATACCTCATCATGTTTTCCTGAAACTATGATTGATAATATTGCTGGTATTACTGTGAAATGACATTATAGTTGAGGCACAGTTTCGAGGATTCCGGGGAAATACACCCGGAAGGCCTCGTACCTCTTCATTAAATGTGCTGTCAGCTCTCAGTTATCGTTAAATTCCAAATTAATACAGATGTTTCTACCCGTCGATGCGTCTGTCTGACAATATTACATTATGATAATTAAGCATTCATTTATAACGACAATACACCTAATTTTCGCACCAAACAAGTTAGATATTGCCTGTCTCAGGCCAGATATTTAAAACGTTCCGTAACCCACTCTTCAATCCGTTTTCACATGTATTTTAGAAACCAATCATAAGTATTTTTTCTAAAAGAAAACAAAAAGTACGATTTTTCCCCCAAATTTTGACTATGTTTTGATAATCGTTATATTTACTGTTAAGTGGCACGAAGTTTATCAATACTGATATCCATGGTCATGCTGAGTTACCATTGTGTTTCTCTAACCTGATTTAATTTTTGTGTATAGCAAACAACCTAAAACGCCAAAGTCAATGCAAACTCCAAAACCGGATATAGGTAGAGAAACAAACGGATTACCAGGATATGGAAAGAGTCGCGTCACAAAAGAGTCGAACCTCCCTTCATTTCCACTGACGCAATGAAAGCTACGCGATATATCCGTTTTATGCCACTCTATTCATACATACCATCCTCCATATGCCCAAGTGGCGTTGTAGAATGCCAGTGCGATCGACGAAGCAGAATTTGTGTTGCCAGAGAACCCCTTCTGCATAGTAGCTGTCTCACCTGTAAGTAAATTGAATCTTGTAAGTAATGTACATTGGCACAGGAAAATATGTCTTTTTCAGGTAGTGTGATGATATCAGGCTTGAAATGCTGAAATATTATATTATTATGAACGAAGTTTCATTCGAAGTATTTCACTTCACACTTAAAAAATCGAAATCCTTTATATCGAATACTCGGATTTATCCAGATGTCCCGCCGACGTCGTGATAATAGGATATAAAAAAATATGTAGCCATCATGCCTTAGCCTTTCTATTACAGCACAACGAAGTTCCATGTTTTACAATATTTTCCCGAGGAACACAAGGGAACACGATATTACATTTACCCTATCAAAAGCTTGTTTTCTTTTCCTCTCTCCCTTTAAGAGCGTAATTCGAAAGATAAAAACCGCGATTATCCAATTTTGGTTACTGAGGATATTGGTATTTATGTGAACTAAACCCGAGTTGAAGAGATGCCAATATATATCAAAACTGTTATGATGCAATAAGAGCGTTATCTTTGACGTGATTAAAACAATTTAAAACAATAAGATGTTTCGTATATAAAAATGGGTGCAGTTTCATTGTGGAATCAGATGATAATCCGTTCTTACCTTGGCCGAGCAGTACAAAACCTCCTACGATGATAACACCGAGAACGACCAGTTTAACAGCAGAGGAACACACTTGCAGACCCGCAGAATGTTTTGTATCCCAGCAATTTATGATGGCAAGGGCGACTATTAAGGAAATGTAATAAAAAATCGTCGATTCTGAAGAAGTTGAGTACACGACATCTTAACCTATGGTAAATAAACATGCTCAAAATAAGGCAATATCGATGAAGCAACTTCATCTGCATATGTCAAAGTATTTTCTCTTAAAGCAAGTCACAAATAAAAACTTATTGACATATATAAATCCACTCCAAACTTGTTTGAAGAAGAGTATAACATGATTAAACAGAGGATTACTCCGGAAAAGAAATGGTTGTTCCGGAAGGGTAGCCATCTTCTGCGTTGTAAAATGTGTATCATCAGCATGAGGACGGGCGTCCGAAGGAAATCGTGTATGGAAAATTACGGCATATGATAATGAAGCCATAATATTCACTGCTCCTGCACAGTTCTGCTTATGTAGAAGTGTCAAATGGGTATGGTCATTTTCTTAAGTATTGTTGACATAACTTTGCCTAAGAAAGGGGGCGACCATGTATTTACCGTGTGTAGAATAAGGTTAACGAATACAAATATCAAAATCAATCAGATTATCTTTCCATGAAAAAATTCAGTTTCAGATTGCGAATACCAATTATTCTTTGTCGTGACTGAAGTACTTTATATAACCATTGAAAAATGCATGCATTACTAAAGCGATGAACTGCATCTTCGAAGACTTAACATCCCGAATGCAACGTATGACAGCAATTTATACAATAACACATAACAGTACCAAATAAGTTTAATTATTTTCCAATATTTATCATTGTTCACTCACAAAGACTTTGCTTTGATGTACGCCAAATTGGTACAAGCGTGTGCGTGCAAATGTGGCTTATCTGCTTGATGGAAAGTTGTCTCTGTTGGTTTGTCTTAGAAGATGGCACAGTTTTAAGATTCTCTTTGTCAATCATTTGTGACTGATATGGCTATTAATTCTATAACAAATATCAACATCTCAGATATTTCAGTAAGTAATGTATCCTTATGTTTCGGCAGAAACTCACTCATTATCAAAACAGCAATGATTTTGATGAGAGTTTGAGAAGTTCCACAGAAATCAAATAAGATAACCGTGTATTCTGCGAAGATCAGGATGGAAACGGCAATCAGCGTAGGAGTCAGCACTATGCTCTGTGTCCACGCAAACAGAAAAGCGATGATCTTTCCTAACCCCGCCAGCAGGTATGGGTATTCACTTCCCGACTTGGGTATAAGACATCCTAGCTCGCAGTAACACATCGAACCTGTCGGGATATTAACAACTGTTGACATGGCTAATTTGTGAAACTGATTATTCAAACGAGCATTTGGACAAAGGAATACTTTCAGTTTTTATTTACACTTCAAGTATAATGTCAACTCATATACAGGAATACCCCTTATCATGAAAACTACAGGACACATAAGATTAAAAATTCTATCTAGATCTCATGAGATCACGTAAGTGTTTTGGCACTAACCATCGTATTATCTTTTTAAGTTCTTTATCCGATGAATACAATTGCTTGTGTTTCTGTTTTATTTGGTTTTCAGTAACACTTTACATTGATACGTGAGTTAATCATATGACACCTATACAATACGTCAGTAAGAAACACTCAACGTCCAAGATGACCGAATGTCAGTCATTTTGTTTCTCCGATCGTTCCCCAAACAGAAAATGTACCAATAAGAACTTAGATATGAGGAAAAACTATCTGAAACCTGTTGAGGAATAGCTATCACTTTCATCATCCAAGACAGCAGCATATCAGCAATTTGGTTTGAACACTGTGCCTGGTGTCGCCATTGCACGTCTTTTATTTTCTTTTATTGCAAATGTCTACTTTGACTCTGCCTCGCTGTTGGACTTCAGTTGAGAAATTTTGAGAAAACCTTTGGGTTCTCTCCTATGGCATAAGCATAGTAGATTCTTTAAGAAGAGGTCGCAGAGAGATCGTTACGGTCATCATTCTGATAGGTTATTTTTATGAGCTGGCTCGTTTCTTCAATTTAATCTGTAAATTTCTATTCAGAACATGATAAAACAAATGACGAAAACAAACAGTAACCAGTCTCATAAAGGACAACAGACAACAAGAGATCAAGGTAATCCGACGTGTGAAACTTTGAAAATGATCCATTGCTAACGTGTCTAGAAACAGCGATAGCAATTTTTAACTCTCAAACCTTTTTATTACCTCTCCAAACGCAGACAACTAGAGGTGATATTAGTCATAGATAGATGAGACTGTTTGTCATGACACCAAAAATATCTTTCATAACCATCAAGTCCTTCTAATTATTTTGCATATGTTATGAAAACTTACCTATAAGGGCAAGAAGTCCCGCTAACACCCACACCAAAAGACTGAGCCCTACTGACCCAGTTTCAAACAGTACACCTGTCGGAGAGAAGAATATTCCAGATCCTGGAATTTAAAAAAAAAATCAATCGACTGAAAAAGCCATTACAAGTCGCGACAATGGCAATTTATTGTCAATATATATATAGAAAAATATGTGATACAATATCATTACAACAAAAAATCCCGATGTGAAATGATTTTAAAAACAACTTTGTAACAGATATGCTATGAAGCGCCAACAATAGCCAATTTCATTGTACTTTGTAAACAAGAGGTCCAGAGTCTGCAACACCAACCTTGATGTTTCATCAACTCATTTATATCACATAATGAAAATTTAATGATCAACCTCTATGTCTCATACGTGCTTATATGGAATTGAGTAGTCTATATCTGAAGTCTTAAAAAGGTATATTGCAACAAATTAGTTGATCGACAGCTTGCTATATTAACAGATAAAGTACTGTTTGTCATAAAGATCCAGGTGAGCGATACAGACCCTCTAGGCCTCTTGTTACAATTTACAAGAATGATTAAACAGAATCTACATGACTGCACATCTCCGATATGTTGGCATATAAGAGGAAATAGCGAATAAATTGATTAATAGATCACAAATCATTATCAACTTAGCTGTATTCTAAAGTCTATAATAACACATGCGACAGCACACTCCACAATGTCAGTAAAACCCTTCTGGTGTAAATCCTGATGTAGAGCTCCCTCTGTTTTTGCATAGTACCCTAATAACCTATTCCACCTGTCTGATATCCTTGCGTTGTATAACGTATTTTCACAGTTACAGCACCAATTGGGTTTTAAATATGTCATCTTCACGACAGCTTCTTAACAAAATGATCGTCAATAAACGTGAATGGCCACACAACTACCACAGCACACAGCTGGGCCACCATAGTAAGCAAATGCAGTTCATCACGACCGCATCTAAAGTATGTCAATACTCTTGTTACGACACTACAGTTAATGCACACAACACTGCATACTATTACTGTCACTACTCAACCATCTCCATTACGGTAAATAAACATCTGTATACAGATGTTCAGGGCTTCCATAGGTTCAATGAGGACTCCACTCATAGTAATATGGAAATGACCCTGAGCAAGGTGTACAATAAAGGAACCAACGAGCATCGAAAACGTCTTGCTTCATATCGCACAAAATAGAAACAGAATATTTCTTATTGAGATCGCAATGCTTGAAAGGCATAATAATGCGAACAGGTGCTAATATATCGAATCAACTCTGACATGTTAACATCATAGGTTTGGGATGCAGGGATGTTGCTATCTAGAAATAATACTATTATCATGTTTTATCATACAGCTTGGTGGAAAGCTGACCAATTTGGTTGGATAAATAAGCGGCTGATGTAAAAAAAATCTGTTGTGACCTTGATTTCCAACTCTAGTGGGTATATGCCAAGGACGTGGTCAATACATTTCTTGTTATTTAAAGACATCAACATATCTGAAAGTAAAATTAAACGACGTTGCATTGTCTTTGTGACCTGTTTTATAAGCTCTTAAATAAATACAGCCTCGTTTGCCTTTCGGGCATGATGAGGTAATAAATGAAATTTTAATGTTAACATTTAATAAGAATTAATACCTTATCAATTTGAAAATTTGATACATTCGTGAAAGTTGCAAATAAAGACATATCATTGGCAAACACTTGCAAACTCACCGATAATGGCGTTAACGGCAAATGAAACAGCACTGACAAGTCCAAGATTTTTCTTCATTCCAACTGTCTCTCTTTTCACTGCCGAAGAAACAGTGTTGTCACTAATGTATCCCATTCTTCGACCAACTTTCCCTGTGTCATCAGACATAGAAGATTTACATTCACTAAATTTACTAAATTTCATACAAAACTTCTATATAGATATACAACGACAATAAAATGGCAAGAAAGTTCAGTAAGCACAGACATGGTGTCTTTATATGTTAGTTGTTTACATTAAGGAACAATTTCTTCATATAAAAGTGACCATAATGACGTCATAATTATTTCTATCGACATGACAAAAGACGAATATTTTAAGGGACATTACAGATAGAAACATGGGTAATGCAGAAAAGACACGAATATATCTGTTGCGTATTGGGCGATTTAGTCTCTTTAAGAAAGTACTCTTTGATATTTTGACCGGATGTAAGAAATAATGTAATATGAAAATCGATTTCTACATAATGTTTTATGTTTTTTGATGTAATTTGTTAATCAAAGCTAAATAAACTGAAACGTCAAGCATTATCTGACATTTTGAAGACATTTCGCTTCCGTTTCGACGACTTGATTCAGTTAATAACGGCAACAATTAGGAAATGGGAAAATTTAGATTGGGACCACTAGACCTAAATTGTAGTACATCAAAATGAATATATGAGTTTGTTCCTAGATCTTGGAAAAACTGACAATTTTAGTGAAAATTGTAAAGCAAGTTAATTACTGCAACCCCTCATTTTAAAAAAAAGATGATAAAATAATCATCAAATAAAAAATGGTCATTTTTCAAAATAAAAAAAAAATAAATGAATAAATAGATAAATAAATAGACAAGTTTTTGGTTGCTACGTAGGTATAAGCCAGTGAAATCAAATGAAAATAGAATATTTTCACGTTATTGTTTTTTTAATATACACGTATCCTCTTAATGATAGACGAAAATATATCTGTCGCGAAAATAACAACGAACGTCTGTAATTTGGATCAACATAATGAAAAATATGTGAAACTGAATTATTTCCTGTAATACATATTCTGACGCCTGAATTGGAAAAAGGAACGCAGCAAGAAATTTATGTTTTGCTTTCAAATTACTCTCTAAAACCTAAACTTTCATCGACAGAGTACACGTTTAATACTGGAAATGTATTACTTTTCAGAGATGCAAATCTTAAAGGGGTCTAAATTGTTAGATTTCTAAGCCGGTAAAAACATTATAACGTTTAAATATGTTTTAAGTTGTGCACTTTCTGTTAAATATAATATGAGAAAGCTTGCATAAAGATTATTTTTAAAAAGATGAGCACCAATCACTTATTCATATTATTAAGTGGGAAAATTTTAAAACTATAACAAAGCGGCGGGTTAGAACGAGGTTCCAAGAGGTCACGTGATGAACTCCACTTTCTCCGATCAAAACAGCGAATGGCATTAGACACAACAACAATTGTTGACAAGTGTTCGTTTGAAGCTGAAAATCTATAAATGTTTTCTCAAAAAAGTGTTAAAATTTTGTTAGTAGTCTAACTTCAATATTGCAATGATTTCCCGAAGTCAAACGCATGGCAAAAATAATGAAATCTAACCATCTAGTCTCTTTAATGTCTTCTTAAATCTACAGATTTTGTACAAAATTGAACGGGAATGAAAATAAAAATGCAAACATTACATGTTAATAAACAAACTACACTGTCCTATTTTATCATTTACCATTGCTCCCAATATGATATGTTTGCCTGCATAAAAGTTGAAAAATCTTACTTTGTTGAGATCCAGAGGTAAAATCCATGACTATCCGTATAAATATTTTGCTATAACACTACAATACAGCAGTTATTTCTTTACACGTATTGAATGTCCTTACAAAGAAGTTTATCCATTAAAGCTGTAATTACACACATACTATACGACCATGTCACTGGCTGTTTCATATCCTAATGCGCACAATCTGACAGTGAGCGAATATTTAATTGGAAATACTGTTAGGAGAGTACATGTGGAATAAACGGTCGCAGACGTAAACATACTCTGACAGTTGTTGTACCGAACAGGTAATGATGTCTTTCTGTATATAGAAATTACATCTTTTGATATGCAATTTCAAAAACAGTGTCCGAGTTTTTAAATGTCTAATGTCGAGTTCCATACGAACAGATATTATTCAGTCATGTCTGTTTTCATTGATGCAAGCTGCAATTCTCATTTTCGAAATGGACAGTGGTATCTGTGCTTCATGCTACAACATCAAGGTTATGATATTTTCACATGCCTTCATGTATCCATTACAACTAAAGTGATTGAGTTTTCTCATATACCAAGGTAGCCATAGCAATGAAACATATATTGGAACTTTGACGCTTTCTGTTCTGTTTGAAATTTTAGAATTTACTTAACAGTTGTGTTGATTTGATTGTCTTCAAACCGTGCGATGAGGGTTAGTCTCCTGATGATGTCATTAAAGTTTGGTACACATGTTTATTGTTCCGTTCCTGCAGTGTTCTGTGCCTGATGGTTATATGCCCCGTATAAGATAGGGATAAGTTTCCCTGACAGCACTTATGGATGGTTTGGTTGATTTTAATGTCGTATAACATTTGAAATTTGTTACCGATAGAGTAGAAAACATTACTGAGGAAGGCAAAAATTTCGAAAAATCTTTTTCTTGGAGTGGCCACGTGGTGACCAGAGCAATTCTTTAGAGGGCCAGTAGAAATCATGAGGCGAAAATATGGCGGCGTTTATCTTTCTCTCATCAAAATGGAAACATCATATACTTCGATAAATGAGTTATCTAGACTGAAATAGTTTAACGGAAGGAATGAACAATTTGTTATGTTTATTACGAAGGAATTACACGAATGATTGTTTTTCCCCAGTGTATTTGCAATAACATACTTTATTACGGGACAAAATAGACCCACATTGCAAGGTATTCGTTATGAAGTGCTGGCAGAAATAATATGATGGAACCTAGCCTAGTTGGCTTTAAGAAGCAATCAAAAAGTTACGAAAGATGATAAAACACTATGACGAGAACGAAGAGGAAAATAAAGATACAAGTTTACGAACTGAAAGAAACTGAAAACTGAAACTGAATTGCTGAGGTCAGGAGAATTGACATCTGTAATACAGTGTCATTGTGGAACCAGGTGTCTATTATCTATTCAATATATTGCATTTGTTTTTTACCCTGTCTTGGCTACAATAAGCAGCTGACAGGGAGATACATGTATATTAGTATTAGACCCAGATGATGGAACGTTTTTAAACTGGAAGGAAGACAGGCTAACACTGTAATAAAAAATGCGTTTTTTGTTTAGTTTATAAAAAAACACAAAACACCTGCAATATCAATCCTTAAGCGATGTTATGTATGCAAAACATATTTATAAATGATATCTACATAGGTATCTATTTCAAAGTTAAGACTTGTTACTGCTGTACCTGTGTAACTTCATATGTAACAAAGTACCTAAGTGTTTAAGACATTTGCATTTTACACGCCACAAGTTACAGCGGGTATGGTACGTATTACAGATGAACATAATGAAAATATGCTACGTCATCATCTGATTTAGATCCAAAGGGCAAAAGAAAAACATCACAGGTAAATTGTGACGTCAAAATGTAGTTCTGATGTCTCCAATTATCTTAAACAAGGGTATCGCGGCCCTAAATTACATGCGCCTACCCCCTGCTGAATATAAATGCACGGTGCATGAAAATTGATACTAATACGAAGCCTTAATTACACAGTCAAATACCACGAGAGAACGCGTGGTCACGTCATTATGATAACACCTAACTAGAAATAAAGACATTTTTCGTTGTAATGTACATATTGCTGAACAAGACGTATTGTCAGATAAGTTTTGTCATACTGACTGCATTCTACCTCTCACCTCAATTAGGTAGATGGCAGCTGCTGTAGGAAAATATACAGTTATTTACGTGAAAACTTAAATTCTGACATGTCAGCTTGTGGACATTCTGGCAAACAGGAACATAATGCCACGGGTATTGTTTATTTGTCTTCAAATTGTATGACTAGTGGAGTGTGTATCACACATTACCTTAAACAAGTGAAAGTGATGAGTTTTTTAAGGAAATCTCATTGTTATCATCAGAGTAGGAAATTTCATTGTTATTATCAAAGTAAAAAATTTCAAGGAATTTAAGTGATATGAAACCAAACTAATGCTTTGTCAGTATATTTCACTGTGACAGCACTATAACAAGGAGTGGTACACGAACATGTCGAAGCCTTCAACAGAAACGTTCGCTTAGCTTATTCTGACAGGTCAGGTTAACAGCAGCAATATCATACATTTCACCATACATAAAACGATTTAAATAAGTTTTAAGATTTGAACTATGAAACGATCAAACTACAAAATTCTTAATACATTTCATCAAGAAATGAAGTTGCAAACTGAAAAACACGGGATTTGTGTTGAATATAGCAAATTTAATGTAACGGAGGTAAATGTCAGGGACAATGCAGATAAAATATCAAAATATGTACGCAGAAAAAACTGCCCAATAAATTGTTTCATAATGTAAATAAGATATATAAACTGTACTCTCCCATTGAATTTATCGGAATATAATGGCATTGTCTTTCTTTAGATTAAAGTTTCAAGTACTCAAAGTCGGCAATGACTGGCCCGGAGTTGAGCATAGGAACGTCGTACTGTCGTCATTGAGAACTATTCTGTTTGTTTGTGTGATAAAAAGCTGGATGTGTTTCATGCTGGTTAGTGTGCCAGTGGGTCCCGTTGTTGTAGACCTTGTTCTCATTTGAGAACATGACGTGCTAACTGAGACTGACCAAGGTTTACATGGCGGGTGTCGTCAATGAGGCAGAACTTTCCGGAATCCTTTGTCTTGTTCTTCTTCTACGTTTTCATGAGTCACCGTTTTACTGAATTTGAGTTTGGATTATGATTATGTTGACATGTTGGTATTCTTTTAAGCAAACAGATATCTCTAACATGAATGTGGATATATGATACACGAAGCACTCCTGTTCTTATGTCAACAAACGGAAACATCCAACTTATAAACAAT